AAGAAGGTAACCCGAATCCCTGGGTGGGAGAAACCAGCTGGAGGACCTTCCTGGGGGTCCCGCCGCTCCCCCCCAAAGTGACCCCAGGACCATCCCCGCGGGGGTGCGGGAGGAAGGGGAGGGTGTGGAAATGCTGCGGCTCGGCACGGCGGGTGGGAAGGTCGGCCTCACGCCTCTGCGTCGGCATCTCTCCCTTTCGGGGAAGCGCTGCTCGGCCATTTCAGGGACTCGCAGGAGGCTCTTGCTTGGTACATGTTAAAGATCTTTTCTCTGAACAGGCTGCAGATTTGGCCCCAAAGTTTACGGAGAGGTGCAGTGACTGCTGAGCAGCCTCTGGGCTTCTCTCTGTTTAGGCCAGAGCTGGGCAAAATAATTCACCACAAACGTAAAAATTTGTGTGTGCTGAGGTGGTGTGATACTGGGTGGAACTGATCTGATCAAGGGTGTTGAAATGAGAAATATTTGCTTTCTGTATTTCCAAAATATTTCAGTTGTCAGTGGATTTCCATTTAATTATTAAGTATTGTGTATATTATGCAGTATGTTTCAGCCTGGGTTGAATTCAGCAGCTGTTTGGGGGTTTGTTTTTAGTTTTGCCTTAGTTGAAAAAGCTGCAAATGTTTGCCCCAAACAACTGAGAAAAAGGTTGTTTGGAGTTTTTTCCAGAAAAAGCAAATATTCACTTTGTTTGCACAACTACAACCCTGACCTAAATAAAACTTTGTCCAATATGATGACCTCTTTTGCTTAATGAACTGAAAATAGCTAGAAAATAAAAAAAAACAGAATACGGTAAGACTCCAGTCTCACTTCGAAGACTTTGCTGGTTTCTTTCACAATCTCATTATTTATTTTTAAATAGAAGTCTTATTTCAGAAGCAAGCGGCTATTTTGTCTTTAAAGGGTCATAAAAATATCTCTGTATTAGAACAGCTCAGGTGGATGACGCTTACAGCGATGTGCCCAAGCAGCGTGAAGTTGCCATTGCATACCTTGGCTATGCATTACAAACACAGTACATAAAACTGAGAGCAAGATAACATTAAAATACAGATTTCCCTCAAGATATTGACATAACATGATTAATGCTCAACGCCCACACTGAACCGTGCAGAGCAGAAACAGTGTTTTCTGTTACCAAAATAGTGTATAGCAATAAAAAGGAGGGAGGGGAGGAAGCAACCCGTATCTTGTACAAAACCATGCCCTGGGCTGCCCTGCTGATGCTGGGCTTCAGCAGGTAATTCTCACATCTAGCCCAGTGTTTGTCACGGTTAAAACCCCTGTGGTCTTGTCTTCATGTCCCCAACCAACCAAAAAGTCTGTTCTTTGGTTAGAACATGAACAAATAACCCCCTCCTCTTCATTTTGTCCCCTCCTCTTCATTTTGTCCCCTCCTCCAAGTTAATGGCCACAAATCTCCTGAGACAGGTCAAGGCACGCAGCAGGAGGAACGAAGAGACAGGCTGTGGTTTTAGGGCGCAGGGCTGTGCCGCCGCTGAGCCATCGGTGGGGCAGATCAGCAAGGCACTGTCAGCAGGAGACCCAGCCAACGCCAGGGTCCAGCTGCTGTAAGGAGCACTCAGATGCGCTGCTTCTAAAAACACTGTAGTGTTCTCCATTTGCGCCTTGTTCGGACACAGAGCCCGGCTCTGCAAGGCCCTTATATGCATGCTGCTTATATGGATATAAGCCAAGCTCTGCTACAGCTGCTCCTTCTCCGGCAGGCAGCACTGCAAGCACAAGGGGCTGACACCTGGGGCTGGCTGTTGGGTTATAATAAATGCTGTAACCCACACCTACCCCCCAGGTGTTCCCCGAGTTGGCTGCTCTGCCCCAGAGCATCTGCAGAAATGCAGTGTGCAGGGGCACCACAGTGTTTCCAGGACTCGGCTTTCTCTTTCTGGGATGCAGAAAGGGAGGCACGGTAAGAAACCAACCTGCTTTGTTGAGGATTTTTAGTGTTAACGCCAGAGATTTTGTCTTTATCAGCTAATCCCAGCTCTGCCCCTAGTTGCTTTAGCATGTGCCAGAGCACCAGCTGCCTGGCAGGGAGGCAAACGTACCTTTGGAGGGCAAGGACCTGGTGTGCTGCCCTACGTGGTTTGGAATAAATATCAATGTTAACATCTACATTCATCAATAAAAGTTAGCTGGGGAGAGGCAGGCAGATGGCTCCCTGCCCTACGCATAGATCAGAGATCCAGGTGAAGAGCAATCTGTCATGTAGGACCAAAGCTGATGCATGAGCCCAAAGAGATAGTCATAGCCTTGCGGTGGCGAAGGGATCAAGAGTGGACTTTTTTTTTAAAGAGGTAACATTAAGTTAAACTGTATTACTCATTCTTTCACCTGTGCGATCCCTTGAGGCTTCACCCTATCAGAGAGACAGTAAGGTGGTTTCTGTTTCATTGCTCTGTCTTTGGAACTTATTCTCTGGCATATGGGATCCCGCCCCCCCCCCAGCCCCTTTAGTGCAGTGTTTAAATGCTGACAACCTGAAATTTCTTGTAATTGATGTTTAGGGGATTTCTGAATTGCAGGTTTGTTTGAACATCCTATATTTAGGATCTTTGCTGGGTGTCATTCAGTCTCTGCAAGCGGGACTCTATCAGGACTGACTGGTCAAACCCTTGACTAGCAAACTGGTTTTCTTTTTGAAGCATGCCTTCAAAATGTTGGGCTTTGGGGAATTTGACTTTCCTGTGTTCCAGCGGTTCTCTGCAAAGAGAGAGAAACCTTCTAGATAAAGTACATTGTGAGACTCATGTACACGACATTAGCAAACTGAGGGGCAGGATGAAAGAGCTACTGAGTTGAAGTATCTTTCTGCCATAATAGTTGGGTACATTATTTGTGTATTTCCTGATAGAAACTCTATCTGCAAAGCCCTGTTTTCCCTCCTGCCTCCCCCCACTGCAATTAGCAGTCTAAAATAACCCCTCTTCCCATCTGCCAGAAGGAAGCGTGTGATCTATCACCTCCAGGACTCAGCTGGCCAAATGGCCTGGATCAACTTCTACCTGTCCAACTCTTCTCACAGGAAAGTACGGGAAACAAACTGAAGAGAAATAGCACTGGTTGTGCCTCCACCTGCACCAGAGTCAGCCAGGACCATCTTTCCAACCCTACCTGGGGCTCTGGCAGCCTTTGTCCCTAGGGTTTGCAGTGGACATGGCAGCCCCCCTTCTCAATGGTCTGCACCGGGTGGATCGGTAGGACCAGGTGGGAGATGCGGCTCCACAGCCCACTCAGCTTGTCGGAGTCCATGTGGTCGTAGGAGCTGGGGGTCCTGGTGTGGGTGAATTTGGCCCAGAGGAAGTCGCGGACCCTCTCTTCCACCTGCTGGAGGTTGATGTGGGTCTCCAGCATCTCCTCCTCCAGCAGCACGGTCAGCAGCAGGGCCACGTCCTTGAAAGCAGCACTTGCGTGGTCGCAGTATTTGTAGAAGATGAGGGTGGCCCCCGCCGGCAGCAACTCAAAGCGGTGTATCACCGCAGCACGGCCCCCAGCCTGGAAAGCTGAGCTCAGCTCTGAGTCCACCTCCAGCTTGGCCTCATCACTCTGGAGCCTGGATTTATCTGTGCCATCGATCTGGACCGTGCTGGCACGCAGGGCAGCCGAGTAGGTGTCAGCCACACAGGCGCTAAGGCATCGCAAGGTCCGCTCACCCTTGCGGGCAGCTGTGAAGATGATGATGGCCGGCTGCGTGTGGTGGGACGTGTTGAGGTGCTTCTGCAGGAACTTACGCCCGCGAAGCCACAGGTGGGGACTCTGCCCTGGAAACCTGTCTGGCAGCTGGTTGAACTGGGACAGAAAGGCCTCCACCGTGGGGTTCTTGGGGGCTTGCTGGGACTTGGAGGTCGGGTTGCCAAAGCAGAGTATGCAGAAGCCGAGCAATACGAGGCTCACGATGACAAGCCCTGTTCAACAGGGGAGAGACCCGAGATGAGGAACAGAAGTCAGTCCCAAGTGACCTGCAGCGATATGCTGGAAAGCAGCTACAAGGGCTCTTTTTCCCCTTCCAGACCTTGCCCACTACCCCAGGAAAGTGGTTCAGGTTGGGACGCTCTCTGGGGGCCCAGGAATGGTGAAGAGGCTGCTTGCCCCATGTTGTGAGACCTATGCCCCTACACACCAGCCAGGGAGAACTACAGCTCCAGAGATGGAGGCAAGGCTACAGCTTTGTCGTCGCAATGCAAAATTTCCTGAGGAAATTGCAGCTGGCCACAAGCTTTCTTCTCTCCCCTCCGCTCTGTTTTCTTTAAGGTTTGTGGCTGTTCGGAGCACCTACCTCCACATATGAAGGCATCTGACCCAGCTAAGGTATCCTGTTCACTGCCTTCCTCCTAGCTCTGCTGGGTGAACAAAGGCTACCATGCTCCTGCCCAGAAAAGGAGGACGGCGAGGTCCAGACACAACTGCTTGCATCCCTTTCCATGGCAAAGCAGGATCTCTTTCTATCAGGAAAAATGTGTGGTGCAGATCAGCATCACGGTTCCTGCTTGGGGCCCCATGACACAGAGGGGGAGAGGGAAGGTGGACCATCAGTATAGGAGCCTCAGACCTCCCAGGACATGCCAGGGTAGTCCCAGCATGCTGAACACAATGTGCCTGCTTTCGAGGCTGGAGAGCTGGAGGGAAAGCTGCTACTATAGGCTCAAACAGAGCCTATTTTTAAGGGGATGGTTTTTCCCTCAAACCCTCAGAAAAGGCTGTGAAAGGTCCTGAGAGAGAAGAAGAATTGAATGTGCTTCATTACTTGTTCCTGGAGGATCAGTGCCTTCTGGTCGATGAGTAACACACAAGGGAAGCTTCTTTTCCTCACCTTTCAGCAAGAGGGACTCTTTGGCCTTCTCCTGGTCTGTGTTTTGGGTGGTGATGTTCTGCAAGCAGGACTGAGCCTCTGGCTTTGGGGCTGTGTGCCCTACAGTAAAAGAAATGTGCCACTCAGTATGGAGGGAACAGGTAAGTTGGGCTGTAATAAGAAAAGCAACGAGCTGCCAGGAGCTTCCAGCTGAGGGAA